AAAATACTTTGAGGCATAAAGCTGTCTATAATGAAAATTAATTAACTAAGGATTTTTTTGCCCTGCCAGGGTGTGGCTGAGTTATCCGGACTGCTGGGTTATCAAGTGCCGAGTTTTCGAGACTCTACTGTACTCTATTCTTTTTGTTTTGCTTGAAGATTTCTAATTTGTAACTCATATGATATAATTTACACCATATATATATATAATTTTATTTGGTAGAATAGTAACAGACATGTTACTTTATTTTAAATATTATGTAAAGAAATACAAAAGTGAGAAGTTGTAATCAGAATCTGACATGCGGAACCAGTCATAAATAACTACGGGAAAGTATTATAATCATGTTAAATTTGAACCGCTGGGTTTTTTGTCAAATTTCAGTGTTTTCAGACTCTCTGAACTCAATAAAGTAAAAAAGAAAAAGGGAGAATTCTGCATGTGTGTTTGCGGCTATTTCATTTAATATCTCGGGGTGGGGTAAAGTTTAAGAAGTGAAATTTAACATGGTAACTTGTATATAGGGGCATTTGTGCTATTAAATTTTGGAGTACGGAACTCGTGAGGGTGAGGTGATTGATAGAGGATCGCGTATCATATCTCTATTGGTGTCAGACTTAATGAAATTTTACTCATTATTAGCATTTACGATATTTTCAAAAAGTTCCGATGTTAGAAAGCAAAAGAAAATAGAAATATCAAACCATCGAGATACATTGTTATTTATTATTATTAGTTTTTTAATTAGGAACAAATAATCACTTTATATACATATTTTAATAAATCTGGCTTTTCTTTTAAAACTGTTTTATTTGTGAATGAATTTTTAGGTTTGGTTGCACCTAAAGATGGGCTTCGTCGTTTATTGCAAATGGAAAAATCCAGTGGAATTTGGACACAAAAAATGCAAATGAGACTGGAAAGAAATTGGGTTATTATTATAGATTACGAAAATGGGGTAAGTGGAAAGAGAAAAATCTTTCTTTGTTTCATTTTTAATTTTATACTCAGTTTATTGAAACTGTTTAAATCATTTATAATATAAAATATTTTTTATTTCATAAGTTGAGAATTAAAATTTCTGATAAAATTAATAATTCAATTATTTTATTACATTTCTATAAAGGATATTGTTGAAAGATTTCCGATGAGTTTAATAAGTGATCCAACCGCATGTACAAGCGATGGTAGAAGAGAACTGTACAATAACATTCTCATTTTCATCGTAAGAGAGGATCCAAAAAGTAAAAATCATAATCCTTCGGAAATGCACATCTTCCAATGCGCTCAAGTTTCTGTAAGTTCAGTAAAGTTCAGTTAAAATAATTTTAATTTTTACCTTTTTCTTTTATTACTTTTTATACAAATAAAGTATCAAGTCTATTAGAAAAAAATTTAATTGTTTATAAATACAATTAACAATATCAAATTTTTTTTTTAAGGCACAAGACGTTGTAGATGAAATAAAAATGTTTATGAGCGGCAAGGCAAAATCAAGGTAAAATGATACATAAACATTTATCTAACGAAAGTGTTTAAGAAATTTTTATATAGTTGTAGTTATTTAATAACACAAAAGCTTATAAAATATGTAATAAAAGTTTCATATTAAAATTCTAATCTTATCTGATAAGGATTAAAATAGGTTCAATGTTCAAAGATACTGCCACTTTAATATGATAAGGTAGACGGAGTGATGGAAATTTAATAACAGTTTCATATATTAGGTACAAAGATAATATGAGACAACTCCCCCCTCCACCAAGCAATCCTCCACCTGATCCGCCCGTAAATGGCATTTCGGGTATCAGTGTTAGAGAGCAAGTGAACATGTTTAATGCTGCAGCCGCTGCAGCCAACTCTAACTGTAAGTAGAAAAATTCTTGATTACATTTAATAATTAGTCTAAATCAAACAAGACACATATACAGTATATACATATGGTCTTATCACATTAGTGAATGAGATTATTTAACAAATTAATGATTATTATCACCTTAATAATAAAAATTTACAATAAACTATGGCTCCTTTAACATGTACGGTACATAGTATAGAACACTCCAAATGCATTTTGGACACAATAAAAAGTTCCTCTTCAGTTGGTGTTCATACATATAAAATTATAAAAATAAATTATAAATACATGTAAAAGACCATTGTAAACATGTTATTCTATTCTTGATTACATTATTTAATATGTGAAATTAAATGTAAAAGAAATAAAAATTTCATTTTAATCATCATCTTCCTCTAAAAATTAAATTAGATTCTCAACATCGAGAAACAAATTATTCCCATCAGAGAATGGGAAGGAGCGATATGTATGTCCGAGAATCAAATGATGAAACAAGTTCTACTGCAAGTGATAAATATGAGCAAGATGTTGTGAGTTATTTTCTTTAATACTGAACAGGTATTATTATTATATCTTTGTACCTTATTAAAATTTAAATAAAATTATTTTAGGCTATTTTAAATCATTGTTTTGACGACATTGAGAGGTTTATAGCAAGACTGCAACATGCCGCGGCGGCTTACAAGGAATTAGAACGTAGACAAAAAAGTCGAAAAAATAAAAAGAAAGACATGGGTGGTAAGTTAAAAGTTGATATTATAATAGGTTTAAATTATTAAACTTTTATTATAATTTAATGAAATTTTGTTGTATTAAATTTTAAATTTTAGATGGCATGTTAAGCATGCGAGCCAAACCCCCGCCAGAAAGAGAATTTATCGATATTTTGCAAAAATTTAAATTATCGTTTAACTTATTGGTACGTTCTGTAAGATAAAATTGTTTATGTAAATTTTACTTCTCTTATTTACTTATTTATAATAGGTTTAAATTATTAAACTTTTATTATAANACCAACTCTTGTAATTGAGGTCAGGTAAGAATTTTCATAATATTTTATAATTTCATAAACGTTTGCAACAAAATCATATACTTTTTTATTTAGTTTTATTCTATTTGATTCCATAACAATGAAGTCTATGGATGGTACTTTTATAAATGTTTTATTGGTGTTGGGTACGTTAGTTTTTAATGCTGTTTGTCTACCAAATATCCAAAAAATCGAATCAGAATGGTTGGAAAAATATTTTTAATAAGTTTAGTTATTATAAATATTATTTCTTTAAAGGCCAAATTAAAAAGTCACATACACGATCCCAATGCTCCAGAATTGGTACATTTTTTGTTTACTCCGTTGGCTCTGATCATAGATGCAGCCAAGGATTCCAATTATAGTTCAAATTTAGCTTCGAGGGTCGTCACTCCACTTTTAACTCGGGAATCAATCGAGTTGCTGACAAATTGTTGTACTTCGAAAGAGACTGATTTATGGCACAGTCTGGGAGAACCATGGGTTATTCCAAGGTAATAAAAAAACACTTTTGTTAATCAGTAATAATGAATTATATTTGCTACCTTGCCAATTTGTGATACATATAGCAACTTATATCAGTCTTGTATGCTATGCATACGAATGTTTGGAGGTCAGTTAGCATAAGTCCAATCATTACAATATTAAGGAGACAAAATTAGAGTCATGCCTCATTACTTTGTCAGTGTTCCTAGACAGAAGAGATGGTATGATCTAGTAGTGTTTACAAATGTTGAGGGCTTGAGCTCTTTAGCACCAGAAAATTTACCCTTTATATTTCCTTTTAGAGCAAAAACTCTGATTTTGAATAAAATGGACTTGGGCTGATTGGCCTATGAACAGTTTCTATAATATGTTGTTTAAGTTAATGTTCTTTTATTCTGTTTATTTTTCTTAATGTAATCAACTCTGTAAATATTTATATTAAATACAGTAGAGCGTCGTTTATCCGAATCAATTGGGGACGGGGTTGTTCGGATAACTTATTTTTCGGATAACCGATTATGTACGAAAAAACATATTAACCTATCCCATGTTGAAATTTTTCACCGTTGTGTGTTGCTTCGCATTGAATTTTTGTCGATGTTAAGCCTAATGTAAACTTTTTAAAATAATAATCGTGGCTATTGTATCATTACAAATTATTTCTTTATTTTTTACAAACAAAATAAATATATTGAAAAATATAAATAAAAAAAATTATACTTTAGAAGTTTATCTAGTATCAAAAATGTTTGATTCAGCATGACACACAGTCGTCAGAAAAACACCACACAAAAGTGCCAGTGCTGCCAGCTAAAACGCACACATCAACAAAAAAAATATTGGAGTAGCACAAGATATAGCCACAGATTGCAGTGCCACAGCACTAGCGAAAATTTAAATTTGCCGACTGGAATTCTTTCGGATAACTGACATTTCGGATAAATGACACTCTACTGTAATAATATAAAATGTATATACAGGTAACTCCTGTATAACATGGCACTTCTATAGCACGGATTCACTCTAACACGGTTCAAGAATTGGTACCATCCCCGTATAACACGGTACTGTTATAGCACGGATTCACTCTGACACGGTTCGAGAATTGGGTAAAACCTTCTTACAACATAAAATGTAATAAATTTTTACATACTTAGGAAATAATAGTTCACAAAAATTATTATTTTCGTGAACTATTAATACTTAAGTATGTAAATTTTATTTTCCTTCTGTCAATACACATGGTCCTTCTCAAAACTTGTTTTAATATTGCCAGATCTTGACGCTTCTGCTTCTGATGTTGCCAGATGTTTTTCCCTTATTCCATACTTGCTTTATTCTTCATAAATGCTTAGCACCATATAAGGCAATTTATAAAGATCTTTTAACTAAAAGCAAGCGATCTAAAATTACATACTTTTTGCAAAAGGTAAAGCATGGATCTGAAGATAATGCAGAAAAATACTCAGAAGATAAGGATAACTTGTCAAAAAGAAAACGCTCTTGGTTAATAGTGCTTTTAGTGATGACGAAGAAAACATTGTTTAATTTATATTATTATGTATCACTTAAGAAAATTTTAATAAAGATATTTATCTTAATTATGAAAATATAATAGCAATGTATTTTTAATTTTTGGAACCTAACCCTCCTTTTCGTACTAGTTCTTTGTTTCGTATAACACAGATTCCATAACATGGCAATTTTTTAGAACGTAACTACCATGTTATACGGGGGTTACCTGTCTGTCACTTGTAGTTATTAAACATAAATTAATTATTAAAATAATTTTTCTCATTGAATTAAATGAAAAAAAGGATGAATTATTCTTACAAATCTTACTACTAGTCAAATGTTAGTAAATTATTGGATAAGATTTTTAGAAAGTGGAGAAATTTTTTCAACTGTTTTTCTAATTCTAGTTTAACAAAAGTCCTTTGAATTACAGAAAAGTCAATATTGATCATTAAATAATAAAATATTATAATAATTTTTTTAAATATCACTCTGGATTATTCTGGGATTCTAGTCTAACTCAGAAAGATAAGATAAAGTTGTTGTTAATTTGAAATAATTTGTGTGTGTATCTTTCAAGATGGGTTTTTAAACTGTAAAAGTCTATTTTCTGTGGAAACATTTCAATGAATCTTTATTCTTTTTACAATTCTAAGCTTAAGTTTGTATGTCCTACATTTGATGATGACTAAAGATTTCAGAAATGTTGGTATCAGAATATATCAGATATTAGAATATCAGAATAATATCAGATTATCTGATGTTATATGATGTTGAATATTAATGTGATGAAGATCTAGAGATGAAAACACTTTGAAGTTTAAAAAAAAATAAATCTTTAAAGATCAAATGGCTTACTTTAAAAGATTTTCGAGTACGTAATTAATAAAGTTATCGCATATAAATTTTTTTCACTTCAGAGATCAGTGGAAGGACTATGACAAAGAATATCATCCAGTATTTTCTGATGGATGGGCTCCCGAGTATCCGAGTTTTGATGATAGAGATCCTCCTGAGCTTGCAGCTGCAGCTGCTCCAATTTCTTCATCTTATCACAGAAATGAAGCAGTTGCAGAAGAGGTTGGTTTTACATATACTACTTACTGATTTTACTCAATGAAATAATAAGTAAATTATTGATTAATACTTAATTATTGATGATATTAATTTTAGCGAGATTATCATCATATGTATCCAAGAGAAGATAAAAGTGGAAGATACGATGGAGGATTTTATTACAGTCATGAGAAACTTGAGAAACAATATAATCATGGAAGTCCAAGTGGAATTGGTGATCGCCATTCTCATTCAATATATGAAAGTAGACAATTCGAAGAACACGAGGAAGCAAATAGACGTGATTTTCCTCCTGATAGGTGTGCTTTCTTTAAAGAAAGTTTTATACTTTTATCTATAGAATCAATTGTCTAATTCTTTAAAAACATTTTAGGGATACACGTTTTCCATCGGCAGAACGTGACATACGAGACAGAGATGTGCGATCTGATTTCAGTGCAGATTCAATAGAACACACATCAGGTTCTGATCCTCACAAACAGTTTGAATGGCAACAACAGCAATGGCTAGAAGAACTTAAATCTCAAAATGCAAAGATTGTTCAAGTTGTATATCCTCGAACAGCTAACAATGACAAAGAGCTTACAGTAATTCGTGGTGAATATTTAGAGGTAATATCTGTAAAATCTTAGTATAAAAAGAACAAAAATATAAAATTAGTAAATTTTAAATGTATATTTAATTATTAGGTATTGGATGATAGCCGAAAATGGTGGAAAGCAAGAAACATGCGCGGGCAAATTGCTCACGTTCCACATACAATTATTACCCCGTACAATGCTAATAGTGCCGAAAGTGAAGTTTTCAATAATCCAATATATGCTACAAAGGGTAGCCCAAGAGAAAATTTGGTGAGTTTCTATTGTTTGTTCATTATTTAATCATTTTGATTACTTTTACAAAATTAAATTTCTAAGAGTCATTACTTATTAAAATTTTAAAATCTTCTAGAGTGAATCTCCTCCTCTTCCAAAAGGAAATTTCGAAGAGATGACAACAAGTAGTCAAGAATCTCCTTCCAGACGTCCAGCACCCATTCCTACACCAGCATCCGCCGACTGGGTTCGTCGAGAACGCCAGGGCAAGAAAGGTGAATTTAGATACTTCTAAACAGTAAAACTGAAAGTGTGGCATCTTGCTTTTGTATACTTGTTTGTCTTCGTTTGTTTTTGTACAGAAGAGTTTATATTGCGTATACACAAGATAGTTTATTTGTTACAGTTATATTCTGACATTGCTTATTTTTTGTCCAAAGAAAAGTTTGTCTTTGACTGTTTTAAAAATCTGTGTACATGTGAAACTATAAATTTTAAGTAATGGGAATTATATGCTTCTATCACGAAAAACATTAATAATGTCATCAGGATAAAATTAATTAAAAGACAGTATTACTACAAAACTAATATCTACAAATGATTAATTAAAATGTTTATATATATAAAACAAAATATCCATAATAATTTAGGAGCTATTTACATGTTAATTGCTTATTACTAACAAAAATTATCTTTAATTATATAAAAAAAATCAGCTATGACTCATTATCAAAATTTAATGAATAATCCAATATGAATATTTATTATGATAGCGTTTAGAAGAACCATTATAATTGCTTTCCAGTTTTCGAGGATATTTGTTGATAGAATCTTCTCAAATATAATTTACCATCTTAATTTTAAGTTATATTTTATAAAAGTTTGCAATTATAATCAAAAATATTAATGCATAAAGTTTTTCAAAAAATATATAACTAATGAATTTATTAATTCTAATATTGTTAATATATGTAAATAAATAAATGTTTCTATTTTTATAATATACTAAAATATAATTAAAGGTTTTAATATATAATTATTTCAAAAATATATACAAAAATTTAAATTTTGTTAACGTATTACCAACCAAACTACAAATCAATGCGCTAAATGGATATGCTTGTTAAGAAAGTTGATTATTTAAGAGGAAAAAACATTCCAAATAACGAGAAGATTTCATTTAATGATTAAATCCCCATGATATTCCTTAAATATAATGCTTAGATACTTATCCATCTCCCACATGAACAATCTTTTAAAATCTTTACACAATAAAAAAAATTTACCTCAATGTAAATTTAATGTGTATTGCTAACATGATCACTCAGGAAGAAGTTAACTGCTCATAATGTTTTGACTTTTTATATTTTAAAATATAAATGTATATATTGAAGATGATTAATGTTTACTAATTAATTTTAAGAAATCTTTAATTATAAAAGAAAAAAGATTTTAAAACAAAAAATGTTAATATATTTTTAAAATATATATCTATATATTTCTATTGGCAACTGCAAATTTATGATTTTTTTAAAATATCTTATATATACTTTATGAACATCATAATAAATCATTATTTAGTGTTTAATCCAGGGGTTTCAAAAACACATTATTTCTGAAGAATAATACTTTCTCACAGTTCGATTTGCGTGTTATTGATTTTAAATCTATCTGTTGTTATGCCGTATGAATTATATATACTATGAATTATATAAAGGAGCATTGCCTTGTCTGAGAACATATTATTTTTTTGTTTGATATATGTTATTGACCCTCGAACTAATTAAGTCGTCAATAATTCTTGAATCTATTTTACATGATTCTTATAGGAAGATAAGAATATTATAAACCTCTGCTGTATGCAGAGGTTTATAATATTCAGTAGTTAAACTGTACATTATATAATCTACAACATAGAAAACATATCATTTTATGGCAGCAATAAGTTGTGAATTTGAGATCCCTGGTTTAATCCCTTAAAAGAATCATAATTCTGTGTGATGTTATATAAGAGAACGTAATTAAATAGTTTGTAAAGAAAAGACTTCTATATGAAATATTATATTGTTAAATGTTTTCTATCAGTTAAACGTAATTCTACAAATGAAATGAATTATTTTGTAATTTACTTTACAGTTTATTATTCAATAAATAGATTTATTCATATTAATAAAAATATTACTATGTACTTAATTTTTATGTATATATTACAGTTGTTAAAAATCTTTAAATATTTTTAATATATTAATGTTAGAATTTAAATGCAGCTATATTAAAATAAAATTTTAATTATTTTAATGAAAAAAATTCNCATTATTTCTGAAGAATAATACTTTCTCACAGTTCGATTTGCGTGTTATTGATTTTAAATCTATCTGTTGTTATGCCGTATGAATTATATATACTATGAATTATATAAAGGAGCATTGCCTTGTCTGAGAACATATTATTTTTTTGTTTGATATATGTTATTGACCCTCGAACTAATTAAGTCGTCAATAATTCTTGAATCTATTTTACATGATTCTTATAGGAAGATAAGAATATTATAAACCTCTGCTGTATGCAGAGGTTTATAATATTCAGTAGTTAAACTGTACATTATATAATCTACAACATAGAAAACATATCATTTTATGGCAGCAATAAGTTGTGAATTTGAGATCCCTGGTTTAATCCCTTAAAAGAATCATAATTCTGTGTGATGTTATATAAGAGAACGTAATTAAATAGTTTGTAAAGAAAAGACTTCTATATGAAATATTATATTGTTAAATGTTTTCTATCAGTTAAACGTAATTCTACAAATGAAATGAATTATTTTGTAATTTACTTTACAGTTTATTATTCAATAAATAGATTTATTCATATTAATAAAAATATTACTATGTACTTAATTTTTATGTATATATTACAGTTGTTAAAAATCTTTAAATATTTTTAATATATTAATGTTAGAATTTAAATGCAGCTATATTAAAATAAAATTTTAATTATTTTAATGAAAAAAATTCTCATATCAATAAAATGTTATACACAATATTTTAAATTATACACACAATTAAAATATATTAATATAAGCTATAATCTTTTAGATTAGTATAATGTAATATTCTTCTATAACGAGAAAGAAAAATATATATTAACTTCAGTTATTAAAAATATCATTTTTTTTTGTCTTGTATAATTTTGTACGCTAACATTCTCTAACAGATCTTAAAAATATATTTTTATACATTTATATAACACAAACTATGCAATGCATAAATCTCCGACGATAAAAATTGACAATATAAGTGAAAAAAGTTAAAAATTATGTATATTTGTAAAGTATAATATATATATACGAGAATGTTGTAGAAGCATTCGTATCACAATGCAGTGCCATCTCGAGTTGTTTTCCGACATGGGAAACAATTTTCGGGACTGGCCATCAATTTGAAATGTTATCGTTTAATTTAAATCATTCAGATTATCGTACCCAAGCAATGTGACGAAAAGTTTTATGTGTAAAGTGTTTTTACATGTAATATTATGATGTTAGCCAGGGTAACGGTGGAAAGTTTGGGTAACGTTCGTATATGAATTAAGAATCGATGCATCGTAATTGTGTTAAATATATGCAAAAGCTTGTAATAAGATTTATGAAAAATAAAATATTTTTTACGATTTTATTGTCATAGTTTGAATTTATTAACGTTTCGTCTTTTATTTGTTTTACGTTTGTGTCGTTTAATATGCACTTCGTGAAATTAAAAATCTCTGTTTAATTATGTTTATCTTTTTTTTAACTGTATACTGAAATAGGTATAACATTTTCCTTTATTACTAATATAATAATTTTATTAAATAATTATTAACTATATTAAATTACTAATGTCAATATATTTCGTAGATTCTATTACTGATCAGATACCTCAAAAAATGTCATTGGCTGTGCAAACAGATGATGATGATGATATTCAACCTATAACATTATCTAATTCTTTAGAAAGTGGGTTAATTTTTAAAATTAGATTATGATAATTGATATTAACCTAATAATCTAGAAACTAATTTTACTAATATTTCATTAATTACTTTTATTAAAAATAATTTTAATAGATAGAAACCAATTATCTTCTAAAGAATCTATGGGGGTTCAAACAGATGATAATGACGTCGTACCTATTTTACCTGAGGATGTCTTTAAAAGTGGGTAGTTTATAATGTTTTATTGCTTTATTATTATAATATTTGACTACATTTAAAAATAAATATATTTTCTATGTATTAAATAAATTTGGTTATTTAGAAATAATACAGTTTTTTGAGATTATTTGATATTAGATAATATATATTAATTTATAATTTAACTATATTTCAGTGCATACTACTACTAGACGTTAATCAAGTGGATATTAAAAAAGATTTATATAAAGAACAGGTTCAGAGTGCGTTTGATTTGTAATTATTTTTCTCTGTTATGCTTTGTAATTTATTCTCATTATTTATTTATTCTATTTTGATATAACACTGATGTAAAATTTAAGTGTCGATAATACAATGAAAATCAATTATAATTTATATTTAAAGGTAAAATTAAACTTGAAAAATTGTTAAAGAGTTTGGAGAGAAACTGGGAAGATGCTTTCGAATCTTGGGAAAATCCTGTAATTAATAAGCCAGTAAAAGATAATGGCGATGCTAATTATACTAAAGAGATTACGACCGACAAATCTATGGACGTTAAAGAAGCACAAAAACAGTTACAAAAAGAAATAGAAACGAACAAACGGTTTTCTCTAGGATCGAAGACGAATAAAAAGTGGATTTGTCCGAAACATAATCGATCTTCGTGTTCATATTTGAAATTGCATTCCACTTCATCTGAAATTAAACATTGGCTAGAAGTAAAAGGATTTAGTGAAAAGTAAGAAATCGTGCTTCATTTTTTTTAAAAAAAACATGAAAGCATAGTAGTAATTTTAAAATCTTTTATAGATCTCAAGCTATTTTAGATTCATTGAATGGAGAGATGCTGTTTTCTTTGAAAAAGGAACAATTGGAAAAATATTTGGGAGAAGAAGGTTGTAGACTCTACAGCCACATAATGATACAAAGAAATATATCTGGGGTATGAATAAATTGTATTAAAACTTTAAACAATTTTATATGATAATATATGAGGAGGGCTCTACTGAAACTGATGCAAAAGTGGACATAACTTATTTATATACTGATATAGGTCATTCAAATTGCATGTATTAGTGGAGTAATTCTTCCTGTATACAAAGATTTGCACCATTGTTGAATCCAACTCTGGAATCCTCTTTGAAAAATTCAGGTGTGCACTCTTGTACCCATTTCTTCACAACCATTTTTACCTCATCTGCATCATCAAATCATTGTTCCCAAAAAACTGTCCTTTGTTGAACTGAACAGGTGGAAGTTAGAAGGTGCCAAATCAGGGGGATGTACAGTGGATGGGAGGTCACTAACGATGAAGAAGAGCATGCCTAAACTTTTTCAAAGAGGTTTCTGAGTTGGGTTCAACGATGATGCCAATTCGTTACGTATAATGGAGACTATGTTGAGTAATATCTTTATATACAGGAAGAGTTACTTTACAATAAGTGAATTTGAATTATCTATGTCAGTAAATAAAAATATTATGCCCACTTTTGCATTATTTTCAATACATCCCTCATACATTATTTCCATTATTTGCAAGTAAGATAAAATTTTAAATACTAGTGTTACTAAATGGTAAGGATGTTTAAAAAACTAATAATTTATGTTTTTTTAGAAAATTTTTTTATATGAAGATCAACATTCTTTTGCTTTTTGCTGTACACAAATACAATTGTATGGAAACAAATTTATATGTAACTTATAACAAGAATATCAATAAACAGTTTTATCTTTCAAGGTAAAAACAACTCGATCGGAAGAACTACGGAGTATTTTAGAACAAAGACGACGTTTAATGGAAGAAAACGAGAGCAATTCAAACAAAATTGGTGTAGAGCTCGGTATGAATTTTTCCTATTTTATAAAATATTGTTTTCCGATTACAACTTTGTAATTATATTTTAAGTCGTAATTCAATTCCTGAAAAATATTGGTCATTGACATTTAAAAAATTGGCAAAACAATTCATCATGCGATCTGAATCCTATATCTTATCGTCTGACATTTGATGTCTGATCGGTCAGATTCGAAGACCTCATAACTTAATATCAATAATTCATGTAACTTTAGAAGCACACTTCCTTATATTCTAAATGTTATGATTTAATAAAGAATATATCTTAATAAGTTTTAAATACATATTCTCTTAGATGCGATTTGCCAATTAAATGATTTAATGTACTGAAATTCAGTTACGCTATTCATCTTTTTGGTACTCATGTTTATTAATAAAATTTTCTTCCTTTCAATCATCATTGGAATAAATAATTTTAAAAAGTTTATGCTTCCCATGCTTTATTAGATACATTACTTGCTAAATTACATCAAATACAAAAAACATTTAATGTAAATTACGTTCTTTAGGCTCTGCTTATTATTATTAAATAATTCACGAAGAATAAAAAGCCAAATCCCATTTAATATTTGAATTAACTTGCCCAAAGACGAGCGTGTAGTGCTTGCAAATTTTGATTTATATTTGAAATTGTTTTGTCAAAGCATTTTGAAGTTTATTTGTTTAATTAAATGTTTTAAATAATTTAATATATTAAAACAATATGATAAAAATTCCATTGTTTAACTCCAAATTCAGTTTTTATCACTTTGGTATGAGATTTTTTGCATTCATACCAGTTTGCTGTCGTTTATCACTCCACTACATCACTTTATTTTAATATAATAATCACTAAATATATTAAAATAAATTGATATATTATTAAATATAATATAATTATTGTGTAACTAATTAGAAAATTTAATTTATTTGTTATAATAATTTAAATAAATTTATTAATTTTGTAACTTTTATAATTGAAAAAAAAAACAATTGTTCATTTTATTTTCCAGACGAAGACGAAAAAATTGATAACGAAATAACAGCTAAATTACTTCAATTCCTAGCGAAACAATCGACAAAAAAATCATTAAATTAGTCCACATGACCGAATAAAAAATATAAAGTATCATTTAAATATAATAATGTAAATATTTATAAAATTCTGTAAGTGTTAAAAATAAATTATATTCATTTTTTGTTAAGTTTTTTTATGTATAATTTTTGATTAAAAATATTTTATAATTATCAGTTGATTAACTAATTCGTTATTTAATTCATAATTTCTTGTTTTATCTTATCTTTAACATTTTTTTAAAAATAAATATCCTACCAAATAAGATAGTATAGTTAATAATAATACAACAAAGACATCAAAAAGTAAACAAATACATTTAAAATCAATTTATAAATAACCATACAAGAATATGTCTTTCATTATTGCTGGAATGCTAGCATTTTTTCAAATAAAATGCTAATTTTTTCCCCTTTTAAAGTAAAATAAATTCAAACAAATATATATAAATACATACAGGAGTACAAAAAACATTTGGTATACAGCAGTAGTGCATTATAGTTTCATGGGATCCAAGCAGATTTTAATTAGGGGGCCCCACGTAAAGTGTCGACCTCACATTTTTTGGGGGGGAATATTATCTTATAAAAGATTGGTTCAGGGCCCTAAGAAATTGTCCCTTTTGCTCTTAGGATAACGTACCACTGGTGTACAGTAGATATTAAAATTCATATAAGTAAATAGTTTTTAACTACGAATTTTATTTTATATAATGTATAAGTTTATACAAAATATAAAAATACATTTCCAGAAATCATTTTTAAATATCTTAAAAAACACTGGAAAATCCACAATAAATTTGAAATTTATTTTTATAAGACATAGCAATTGTTTCCTTGGGGATAGTAACCTCTTGTTATATAGCATTATGTAACTAATTTGAATAAAATAAACAAACATAAATACAATAGACATTACAGAATAATTTAATAGAATTTATTTATCTATATATAAATTTATAGGAAAACAGGAAGATAATGTAAACCATGGCCCAAAAGTACTTAAATATTTTAGTTTTAATCTTGTTTCCACCAGCTTTGTAAATGTACAGTACCTGTCCGTAAAACACCGTTAACTGACAATTGGATCACCCTGTATTTTAGACTATAAATTTTAAAGTTTTACAGTGGATAAATAAATAAATTGCTCATTATAATTTAATGTAGATCTATAACTTATTCTATTAATTATTATATAATTATCGGTGTGTAATAATTCGATAGTATGTTAAATTATTTTAGCTGAAAATTAGAGTAATTACACAATTTGAAATGAAAGTATACCGTATTATAATAAATTTAAGAAATGGAATACCGTTTGTGTCATTTGTACGCATTCGACATAAATAATTCTAGAAAAAACAAAAATTAGAAAGAAAAATAGAGATAAATTGGGAGAAATTAAATTATATCATTCAGCGATTTTATTGAATTAAACAGGAAACAAAATCATAACACAATTACACTGGTAATTTATTATCAGACTTAACTCTGATAGAATCTGTATATATTTAAATATAAGATGGGCAAAAGTTATGCGGGGATGCAATATTTAATTTAAAATATATGCTCTCGATTTCAAATTAGTAGTGTCGTATCCTCTATGTTGTACTTTTCCTGTGTACAATATATGCTCTCGGCCTCAAATTAGTAGTGTCATGCCCCCTATACACCATACTTTTCCTGTGTACAATATATGCTCTCGATCTCAAATTAGTAGTGTACCCCGTACATCATACTTTTTCTGAATAACAAATAACGTGATTTCATGGGGCCTCCTACCCTAAGCTTTCCACATCTAGTTTCAACTTTAACACTGTTCACGAGATTAAGGAAGGGTAGACATACAGACGGTCAGTGTGAATTTACACACGTCTACAATGTTTTTCTTTTCAAATTGCAACCCAATAAACTGTAATTATGCACTAGNATACTGAATAGACGATAGCAAACTCAATTTAGCCGCTCCGTAGCGTGGCGCAGGGTCGGAGGAAAGTAGTTCGGCTGCTCATCCACTATTGGTCCAGACTCTATCAATCTTGTCGCGAAACGAGTTGGCGAAGACGTTATAGGAGATGCTTTATACGAATGTTGCTACAATTTTTTCGCTACGTTATAGGAATTGTCGTTATAGGAACGCACGTTATAGGGGGTCGACTGTATTTTAAATATATGCACTCGCTCTAAAATCTCTTGCCCCTGTACATCATATTTTCCCTGGCAACAACAGAGTAGTTGGGTTATTCACTAACTCTGTTGTGAAGAAAATTTTCAATTGAAATCACATGACTTCCGGTGCAAACCGAAAGTTTGCATATAGTTAATCGGGGCCTTTTGCCCCCAATCTTTCCATATCTGGTCTCCACACGTGGAGGGTATTTAGAACATTTCGTATGAAGAAAGCAATGTAATCGAAAGAGTTATATAAGAGAGAAAATATGCAATAAAATCTGTCTTGCACATAACACTGTCTAAGCAGTTTGATTTCTCAAAAACCTCTCATTTCAGGACATATTTTTATATGTTTTTCTTTCTTTATTTTACTGTGAGGAATTAAATGTTGCTGGGAAAGTTAAGCAACCCGTTGATGGATTTTTCATGAGGTTTACTGAATAAAATTGAAATTATCAATAATTTGACGTGTGCATATTTTATCTTTCTGATTAAATTACGATAATCTGATATATTCTGTTCGAAAATAAGTGTAATTTTGCTGGAACATAATAAGCATACATTTAAATTATCGAGAATATTATTTATCAAACTGTTTAACTATATAATAACAATTATTTGGATGTTAAAAATAGCCAAATTGGAGGTTTTTTACACTTTCATCTGGAGGAAAGGTAGCTTTATTGGGCCCAGTCAAATTTGAATTAGGGCCCTCATGTACAGTGTTGACTTCAGACATTTATCTTCGGAGGAACATTTTCTTATAAAAGATTGGTTTGGGGTCCCGGTTGATGGAGCCGCAGGCAATTATCTTTTTTGACCACGGGATAACATGCCACTACGATAAGACTTACAACTACACCAGAACCATTTATTTAAGATTTATTACGTTTCGGCATTTTTTTGCCCTGTTCAGCTTATAAAATAAACAGAAAATACATCTCTCAGTAAGTGTTAATAAATCTCTCAGTAATAATAAATAAATAAATATACATGACTGAAATGGAGATGTAACAAGTATTTTGACTACGTTCGCTACAAAGTAGCGTTTAGATGGCTCTTTCTTTAACGTTGTTAAATGTAAGTCTTGTATTATGGGGCTGCAATTAAAAAAAAACCGTATATCTATATATTCCCACTGTCATTCGCCTGTCAGGCTGTCTATCCTTTCTTAATCTCGAGAACGATGTTAGATAGATGAAAGTCGAGATTAGATATATAAAGTTTAGGGATAGTAGGCTCCTATTAACTATATACGAACTTCCGGTCTAGACTGGAAGTAGCGTGATTTCATTTCAAAAATTTTTTCCCCGCAACAGAGTTACATAGATGATTGGTATAACTTTATTGTTAAACGAAAAGTATGGTGTACAGGGGCAACATACTGTTAATTTGAGATTGAGAGCATATCTATATATTTAAAAACTATTTCTGCCCTGTGGGCACTAAGAGGGCCTATTTTAGAAAACTCATTATGGATTCAGCCAGGCTCACAATGGAGCAGCTGTGTGGTTGAGGGACAGGGCCTGACATATCCAAATGGGCCATCTCCTGAAAAATTTCTGGGGATTTTTTGACCCATTCTGATTTCATCCCAGCTCCCCAGAGTGGTAGGCTGCCATCTTGATCACACGGCCCGAGAGCATATATTGTACATAGGAAAAGTATGCTATACAGGGGCACAACACCATTAATTTGAGATCGAGAGCACATATTGTGAAGGAAAGTAGAGANATGTAACTAATTTGAATAAAATAAACAAACATAAATACAATAGACATTACAGAATAATTTAATAGAATTTATTTATCTATATATAAATTTATAGGAAAACAGGAAGATAATGTAAACCATGGCCCAAAAGTACTTAAATATTTTAGTTTTAATCTTGTTTCCACCAGCTTTGTAAATGTACAGTACCTGTCCGTAAAACACCGTTAACTGACAATTGGATCACCCTGTATTTTAGACTATAAATTTTAAAGTTTTACAGTGGATAAATAAATAAATTGCTCATTATAATTTAATGTAGATCTATAACTTATTCTATTAATTATTATATAATTATCGGTGTGTAATAATTCGATAGTATGTTAAATTATTTTAGCTGAAAATTAGAGTAATTACACAATTTGAAATGAAAGTATACCGTATTATAATAAATTTAAGAAATGGAATACCGTTTGTGTCATTTGTACGCATTCGACATAAATAATTCTAGAAAAAACAAAAATTAGAAAGAAAAATAGAGATAAATTGGGAGAAATTAAATTATATCATTCAGCGATTTTATTGAATTAAACAGGAAACAAAATCATAACACAATTACACTGGTAATTTATTATCAGACTTAACTCTGATAGAATCTGTATATATTTAAATATAAGATGGGCAAAAGTTATGCGGGGATGCAATATTTAATTTAAAATATATGCTCTCGATTTCAAATTAGTAGTGTCGTATCCTCTATGTTGTACTTTTCCTGTGTACAATATATGCTCTCGGCCTCAAATTAGTAGTGTCATGCCCCCTATACACCATACTTTTCCTGTGTACAATATATGCTCTCGATCTCAAATTAGTAGTGTACCCCGTACATCATACTTTTTCTGAATAACAAATAACGTGATTTCATGGGGCCTCCTACCCTAAGCTTTCCACATCTAGTTTCAACTTTAACACTGTTCACGAGATTAAGGAAGGGTAGACATACAGACGGTCAGTGTGAATTTACACACGTCTACAATGTTTTTCTTTTCAAATTGCAACCCAATAAACTGTAATTATGCACTAGAATAAAAGAGACGAAAGGAAATTTCAACAGGAAAGTGGAATATATCAGTGTCAAATTATATACTCGATGGAAAATTATCATCATTATTTTATTCAGTAATCCATATTTACCATATTTTATAACGAAACAACCCGGAAGAAGAATTATATTGTCT